GCTTAAGGCTTTGAAAGGGGAACGTAACTGTTGGAAAAAAACAGCATTATCAGATTAGAAATATTTTTAGCAAATATTTCCTCCCCTTTTCCTCTCCTAAAGAGGCATACTTTTTTCTAGGTCTTAGAAAGAGATGTAACTGACATCATCACAAATCCACTATTTCCTAAACTGTGCTCAGACCTGCATTCTGTCTCCTGTGAGCAACGATAGAAGGCAATAATTTATTCCTCACTGTGGTGAAGAAGGTAAAGTTCACTAATCGCAATCCCAGCTTTATAGCATCAGCTCTCTGAAGGAACATAGGGAAAAGCATAACCCATTTGAAGGAAGATTCAGGAAACAGTTACTTCTAGTCAGAATTATACTGAATGATGATAAAAATACATCTGCTGCTGCATTCACAGGCCTACATTTGACTTCGCTCAAATTTCCAGACTGGAAAAATTCAAGTAAATGAAGAATGAAAAATGCAAGATTATCACTTTCAGCACAATCAGTCTGGCTGAGGTAAAATGTAGAATATAAGTCAGATGCAACACCGAAACAAATGTGAAACAGATATTAGCATTTCAAACAATAAAACAGCTTAGATTTTTGTAGGATGCTGCAATCTCCATCTCCCTCTCTCTCTAGTCAACAACAACTGCACCAGATTTTACAGTAGAACTAAAGCAGCTGTACTACAGCATCTTTTCTTTACACTTCTTTTTTTCTGTCATTGCCCCTGGCCCCCAGGGCTTTGTTCTCACTATGGTAATACTTCTCTTTCCTGTCTAGTCACAGTGGCATTTCTTGCTGCTCAACCAAATGCAAGAGCCTTACATGATTGTGCTTTGATGTTAATTTATCTGCCCAGACACAGAGCCAGCCTTGTAAATGTCATTGGCTAATGCACTGATTAACTCCCAAGCATGAGAAAAAGCACTGCATATATATGTGTTTTAGTCCCCATCATGTGTTGGTAAGACTTTTATGCCCAGCAGTAAAGCTTCTTTGTAGAGCGTACAGAATAGCTGCCTGGTGTACACTATGTTCTACTGCACACTGCTTAAAAATTTTCAAGGCTCATAAAAACACATTCCTCACACTTGTTAAAACTTTGGAACATGTTCTTCACTGCTCATTTTTGCAGTTCCTGCTAGCTCCTGCTGTGGCTGAAAGTCTGACAAAGTTTTCATCATAACACTCAATTTCAGTGCATTCTGCTACAGCAAACTCTGCAAATCATGGACCCACGAGCAAACACAAGACAGATTCTAAACTGCAAGTGGTATAAGATGGGATATGATGTGTATGAACTAAGACGGTATGAGGCAAATCAAACACCCTACCATCAGGGCAGTGTCTGGAGTAAGATAATGCATACAACAACTGAACAGGGAAGTTTTCATTTCAGACAATTCTACAGCTCTTTCATCACTTTTGGAAACTAAGTAATGGGTCATGAAAACAACAGGCCATTCAAGAGACCCCAAAACACTGCTATAGCTTCTGAAAAACCAAAATGATACCAATTAAGGACCAAGGACTCAAACCAGATTGTGAAAGTACTTTTATTTCCCTGTGAAAATGGGAAAGAAGGACCATGGGTCAGGCAAAACCCAAGAACTTGTAATTTCCTTCCCACAGACTGAATGAAACTTTAATAGCAATATACTGGGCTCCCCAAATCCACTGTATTGTGTGCACTTTGTTTCTGAAATTGAAAGCACAGACTTTTCCTAAAAACACCAAACCAATGAAGAGAGAGAGAGCAATGATCAACCACTTCTTATGGTTCAAAGGCTGAAGACTGAGTATGGGCTTAGTTTCACCTTGGAAGACTCTTGACTTCAGTGTATGTTCCTTCCTCCTTTCTGGCTCTTTCTTTTTAGCATGGACTAAGATGGCCCTCAAATCTAGATGATACTGAAATTTGTACAAAGCATCTCAGCAGATTCAAATTTATAAAAGAAAATTAAAACTTGCCTACCTAATTGGACATCCACTTTCTGAGGTGGAAAGTAATTTGTGAGATGAAAACTGCCTTTATTATGGGATACAACTACTGCTCAAGTAACAGTGACTTACTTATGCTGAAAATTACTTTAGATATTGGAACTTTTTCTAAGCTCTGCCTGGTCATTTCAAGGAAATAATCCAAATTCTCTCATATAACTTAAGTTTCAAACAGCTGTAAACAGATGTAAACTGAAACTCCAAAATATTTGCTGCCGAAACACTTTAGCCCATCCCAAAGATCAATCTTCTTAGACATTATAGAGTTGGAAGGCTATCTTCTTGTTTTTTCTTCACGAGAAATATGAATATCTGAAATCAGGTGAATGAGGATTTATATTGTTTCTGCATACAAAATTAGATGAAAATAGCTAACTTTTAAATTTAGATCAAAACATACTAACTATTTTTCTAGCAGAATTTTGTGAAAAGGTTGACAAACACACCAATACCTGCAGTCTCTTTTCTTCTCTCTCCCATTGAGTTAGAAAATTTAAGAGCTTAAGGATGATCCAGAATTTGCATGAAATTCAGCACTGACATAATCCTATAATGCTGCATCTCCCTTTTATGCCTATTCTCCTAGTCTACCCCATTCTCAGTGTATAATAAAGCTTATATGGTATTTTAAGGGTAAAATGGTTCATTTCACCATTTCTAAAAAAACAGTGCAATAGTTGTACTAGAAGTATCCCCTTCTGAAACTCAGTAAGTCTTTACCACAAAACGTAGTTAGAAAAGTCAAAATGGACAAATTTCTATATACATCTGGTATAACTAAAAGACAGGAAAGTTGAACACACATTGGTAGACCAAAGGTTTTTAAGGTTACTTTTAGATTTCCAAACATTTTCATATAAAATAATCAATAAAAATTGAAGATTATCCCCTTCACATGCACCCCTTTTCCCTTCCCCATCATCACCTGCCTTCTGTCAATAGTAATTTAATATTACACTCCCACTCCTCCACCCCTTCCCCAATTGCACATTAAGACATGGACTTTAAAGAACACCGTAACGCTTCAAGTATGCTTCATGCCAATCATCAATAAGAGTCATAACATTACTGAAAAAGTACACTTATTCTTGGGAAGCCTAAGAAGGACTTCCTGTGGAGTGTGGTCAAACAACATTTTAAATAAGAAAAGCGTTCCCCAACCCAATATGTATTGTGCCCTTTCAAAAAGAGTAAAGTGTACAATTTTCTTTGGACTTAAAGAAACAGTATTAAGACTCACCATCTGAATAAGAAATAACCCCAATAGTTTTTCAGTGCTGCACAAACTGTGCACATGAAACAGTAAGTCATTAAGATACTACTGTTCAGCTCTACACATAGAGACTACATGTGGCATATAAGCATACACATGACATACTGGCCTGTCCAGGAAAAAGACACTTTTTTTAGGCTGGGAAACGTGAATAAACCTTTGCATCCAGAAGTATTTTGTAGATTAATTTCTCTTTTTCAATGAGGAATTTGGATTTCTAATAGAAGGATGATGATTCCATCAAGAAACCACCAGCAGTATGAGGGCATGAAGCGCTGATGTGAAGCAGAGTACACATCCTTTCATTTGATCATGCACAAATAAGGATCCCGATTATAAGGAATAATGGATGGTTTGAAAAAATACTTATTTTTATAGACAAGAAATTCTTCTGGAAACACAAACAGGTTGTTGAACAGATACGAAAATCTGGAAAGTCTAAAAAGTATACACGTCTATGTGTGTGTGTGTGTATATATATACATATCTGCAGGTGCAGTATATGTGTGTATATACACATGCACACATGCACAGATGATATATCATACACGTATTTATTCCAACATGTGACTGTGTAACAACTTGTTTTTTCTTTTCAAATAAGAGGTTTTAATTTAGCAGTTGTAAAAAAAAAGAACTGAACAAAACCAGAAACAATCCCCAAAACAAATTAAGCAGACCATATACTATATAAACAAACAAAAATGTTATGCAAAGAGTTTGATGGCAGAAGTGAGTCACACACTGGCAACAGAAGTGTTGAAATTCATAGTAATAAATAGTTCCAAATTAAGAATTTTCTACAACATTTTCTTTAAAGACAGGACCAGTATTTTTTCTTTTGTGTTGATCCTGCAGAACAACTTCACTCTAATATATATTTAATTCTATAACATTAAACCAGACACAAGAATGTAGACTGCAGAAGTTGCCAAATTCAAGACAGTATACATAACATTTGCTGTTAGAAGTTCTATTGGTTCATTCACAGAGGCTAGACAGCAAGTCATATGATCCTATTTGGTGCATTTTTTTCACCATGGGCAAGGTCAATAAATGGATAGAATCAAGGACCTGCAGTCCAACTTGCTGTGGTCTAACCCACTGTGGCAGACAGGAAACGAAATACAGGGCCACTGCTGATCCCCAAATTTGTATCTTGTTTCCTGGAACTGCAGAGGTGGAATCAAAACTGTAGTGTTTTAATTGATCAAAGAAAGGTAGCGAGAAGTGGTATTTTAACATGAATAAAGTTACTAGGCCTGTGAAAGTACTGCATCAAAGAGCACACATGGGACCTCATTACTTGTGTAACATCTGGTAGTGTCACTCAATGACTCATCGACTTTAGGATACATGTATGCAATAATAAATAGATCAGTTATGTAATAAGGCAGTGTGTTGAACATGCATTCACCTCATGGACTGGAACACCACGGAGAGAGATACATGATATCATACACATTCATTGAGAACAAGTATTTTTGTTTGTTGTTTTGTGTGTTTGTTTTTTCAAGGCTATCCAGGCAAACTCTTCCAGAGCATTTCCTTCTTGAGAGGAGTGGTCCTCTGAGTCTTGTCACTTTTCCTCTCCCTTATCAAGAGATGATGACTGGCTTTAAGGAAAAATAAAAGCTTAAGAGGGTTGCTTCTTTTTTTCTCTCCATTTTGGTTGCATCATTATGCATTTAAAGAACAGTTTCTGATGCAGCCAGATGCTGAATCCTCAGGAGGTTCCAGATGTTTCCAGATAACTCTGTAGTTTACGGACTGTAGTTTTGTCCAGTGAACAAAGATCAAAGTCAAAGGTTGTATTTGTGATATGAAAGTGTCCAGTTTCTTCTATAAGATTTACTATCTGAAAGGAAAGAAACAGTGCATTTGAAAATTCCAGAAGTTTCACATGCCCAGTGAACACATTAACATGCCAACAAGTATCATACGAAAGGCATAAATTGAACCCAATTGCACCAATACTTGCAGGTTAAACCACTGTGCTTATCACTCATTTCCTTTCTGACCTTAACTTTGTCCAGACTACAGTACCTCGGCTGTTTAGGGGTTTTTTTTTTTAGATCATCATCAGCCATAACGTCAGCCTATCCATCTGCTCTTCCAGCAAACATTACCATTGACAATATATTTTTCAAATGTTAAATCTGCATATTTTCTAAGTCAAAAAGTAAAAAAAGACCCAAACAAATTATTAAAAAAACAACCCAAAAGACATAGATCTCTGGAATATTTACGGTGTGCATAGCTGCTAAGCAGGTTACATTAGGAAATCATTGGCATAAGTCTTTCTGCAAACAAAGGAAGGAAATAAATCCTTACAGAGTCTAGTCCATATCAAACAAAATATATATTCAAGAGCTCTCACAAGAACTGTTAGTTCACATACTAACACTTATTTCTTGACTAACACACTTAAATCTGACTTTTTTTAGCCAAATCAACTATGAAGAACTCCTACCAATGACATAACATCAGTTTTTCTGGTCACTATTTAATCTATAATCATAGCTTTCATTTGAATAGGAAACAAAGAGCTGTTCGGAGTTCTTGAGAACTAAACTCTCCTATGAGCAAAGGGTCAGGGAACTGGGACTCTTCAGTCTTGAGAAGAAAAGGCTCAGGGTAGAACTTGTCAATGTGTACAAATACCTAAAGGGAGGGTTTAAAGTACACAGAGCCAGGTTCTTTCCCGTGGTACCCAGTGACAGGACCAGGGCCAATGGACACCAACTGAAACACAGGAGGTTCCCTTTGAACATCAGGAAACACTTTCTTCCTGTGAGGGTGACCACGCATGGGTGCAGGCTGCCCAGGGAAGTTGTGGGGTCTCCATCCTTGGAGATATTCCAAAGTCACCTGACATAGACCCAGGCAACTGGCTCTACATGTCCCAGTGAGCTTCAGAGTTCCCTTCCAACTTTGACCATTCTATGATTCTGTCAAACCAACCATACATATCAAACTTGAGCCTTGTGACATTTTTACCCTCTGAATTGTAGTCTACATTTTTAAAGAGTGGTCATATGCAACACAGAATTGCTGTAAAAAAGTAACTCCAGGTATGATAAGTTCTAGTATACGCACCTGCCTGGAAAAAACATTAAAGATCTTGGAAAGTCAAAGCATTGTTGGTCAGAGAAGGCTAACACAGTGCCAACACACCATGGCTATGAATCTCTTACGTGCTGTTTCGTTCCAAGAGACAGACATCCCAGGACAGCACACAGAAAGTCACTCAAGCCAGAAGAAGCCTCTGGATGGGGTGGACTGGCAGAACATTGCTGCTCTTCTCACTCAACCATCCCTTGTGTGGCACTCAGGTGAGGTCCAACATCCTGTTTGCAACCTTCAATTTGAAGCCCCTTTAGTTCTTGGGCTTCCACACATACCTCCACTGAAACACTACTGCGAGATATAACTTGCTTGTTCTGACTGTAATTCCTTCTCCACAGCTGGAGGAGATACAGATGTATGCACATACGGCTTAGAGAGTGTATCTTAAAATGACAAATCTGGTAAGAATACACCAGTTTGACAAAGAACAATGAATCCAACTAAACAGTTTGTAATTTTCCACTCTCCATTTCATTATATAACCAGATAGTTCTTCTTCTCAGATCACAGAAGAAAAATGAAATAACTTACTGTGTATTGTCAGGCAGCCCAGGATAGATCAAACAGAATGGAAACAAGATAAAATAATAAAAGGGAAATGCCTGTGACAGTAAAAATCTTCCTTTTGAATCACCTCCTATTTTCCAGATTGGAAAAAGGTAAAAATAAAATCTGTCTAATTTGTTTTGCAGCTGTTGAAAACTCTGAGAGGACTTAGGAAAAATCTTGCTCTTATTAACACTTTCATTTAAATCTGAGCCTCTTGGTTGCAATTTTTTTTCCATATGGGAATTTTTAAACTAAACTGACCAACTTCATTTGCCAACTTGTTGATTCACAGATTCTTGTAACACTTTTCTATCTCCTACTGTTCTGCAATTGACAATAACAAAAAAAGTAAAAATCAAATGGGACAAAACTGATTGTTCCCAGAAGAAAAATTTGGTATGTATTGTCATGATAATTTCTGGCACTCTCTTGAGTCTCATCTAAGAGACAAGCTGAGGTAAGGAGTCAATTCATCCTCTTTTCGCGAAGTTTGGGATCTAACCTCTGGCTTGGTCTCTGGATATTCACTCTGTGACAAATAAATGACTGCACAAGAAGTTTAGAGAAGTGGAGGCCAGGAAGATGGAGCTACATTGAACAATCCTGTCTAATGCTTCCATGAGTTACTGTAGGAGAATACGACCCCTCATAACCCCCAGTGCAATATAACTGATTTTAGAAACGAAGATTACACAAAAGTGTTAACACATGCAGTTTAAAACAGCACTGCATATTTTAAGAAATGGATAAGGACTTTTATTGATCAGACTCTGCTTTGGGCTTTTAAGCTCTAGATCAAGGGAAATATAAACATTTTAAACATATCCCTCATCCAGCCCTCAAGAAATACAGCCACTATGTCTGGGCACCTGGCAAATCAGACTGAAATGAACCCCAAATGTTTTAATGGATATACAAAAATGTATCAAGATAAATCCAGATAGCTCAATGAAAAACACCTGCCTGTCAATGAGCAATTCATGACTTACAGTATTAGCATGTGCATCCTTGTGCTATTCAGAAATACTTAAAAAAGAATAAAAGGTTGAGATTAGTTGCTAGGAAGTCTGACAGTTCTAACATTAAAAGCACAGCATTAAAATGTTTTATTCTGAGAGCTCAGGCTGAAAAGAATGAAAATATCCCATTTGTTCCTGCTGTAGTAAGCTTTGCTTTTCTGCTGTAAATTACATCTCTGTTTACATAATGTCTCTACAGCTCAGTTTCATCATTATCCATCATAGTATAACTATTTATCAGCCTTTAAACAAGCAAATGAGTGTGTTTGTTTAAGGAAGCCAAAGTGCAACTAATGACATAGTCATTTTTCAATTTATGGAGGGTTTTAGGCCATGTGATAGTTTCCAGACCTCCAAGCTGCCCCTGGCAGAAAATTCTCGGAAGATAGTTGCCATCTGAAGTTAAGCACCTTGTGGACATGAGCAATGTAATTTTCAGCCATGCTGGATACTCTCAATTTCTTCCTTATGCCTTTGTTGCCTAGTGAACTTACTTTCAGGAGATTTTTCACCAGCTGAAGATTTGAATTCTGATGCCTCAAAATAAGAGCCAAAGCCTTACTAGAAGTGTTGTTGCCTTTCATGGGGGTCATGCTAACATTATCTGTACTGAAAATGCAGAGTTAGGAACCCAGCCTTAGCCAGGCAAATTTGAGTATATTGGATATTGGACATACAGCATTAACATCTGTTTGCAGACTCAGTTATCCCTATTATTTCACTGAAAATCACAGAGTTAAGGACAAAAAAATTCTCAGGACTGTTAATTCCAACCCTTCACAGTGAAAGAGGTAGGAGAGACTTATTTTTAAAATGTAATTTCAGACCTAGTTCTGTCTAGCCATAGCCCAATATTAGTATAAAAATTGCTCAGGTGATTGGCACAGGACTAATTTTTTGGTCAAAAGTTCTTTAGCACATGCCTTCTCCCTCTTGGGCAATTCTTAGATATCTGTAAGTATCATTTTACATCAGAAATACTTCTCTATGTATCTAGGCACTTGCAGTACAGTATCACATCTCTCCTGCCTTCTCCTTCCTTTTTCAGCTTCCTTTAACAAAGTGTCTCAAAGAGAAATGCCTCTCTTGGGAAAGAGCCACATTCTCAAACAGATACATTTTTCTCATCCCCAACTTGGCTGCACTCCTGTTTGCTGTCATGCCTATGGTCTTGGTAACAACTGAGATTGCAAAAAAAAAAAAAAAAAAGTCCTTTTCATGTCCCTCAGTACATTTCAAAAGCCCGTTCTTTTACATTATCAATGCCATCATTGTTCTCTGGCAAGTCCCTTCTCTAAAAATTCCCTCAAAGTCTGTGGGTAGCAGACTTGGACAAGTGCATGAGATTATTACCTGCCCCAGCATAAACTAAAGAGATGATAACCACTGCTCAGGAACACGACTCCACCAGTATTCCCCTTCAATACCACCACCACCTTTAAAACTCGCAGTTGTCTACATATCTGTCAGATTTTTGGACTCACTCCCTCTTCTCATGCAGTAACCACCACCTCCATCTGCAGTGTTGCCCCTTGCGCTTCTGACCTTCATACTTCCTACTGTCTCTATATACTTGTATTTCTTGGTCTAGAAGTTTCACATTCATTCCTAAAAAATTTCTCAGCTCTGTGCCTTTGTAATTTCTATGCACACTGGAAGTATTTTACATTAACTAGATAGCTGTTAAGCCATACGGAAATCCTCCCCAAGGAAAAAAGGCAACATCAATTCTGCATCAACTTAACTTCAATAATATAAGTAATAATATATATAAGTAATCATGGATTACAGTATTAAAATTATACTCTTCGTGTAATTTGTGAGGCAAAGGTGGTGAATAAATACTTTCTCTGGTTTGATAAATACTCTCAAGAGAAAAGGTCAATTAAAATGCACAAGAATACACTGTTATTTTTCATTTACTAAGAATAGGATATTCTCAATTTCCAGCTCAGTTATGTCTCTTTTCACACAGTTTGTCCTTATTTTAGTAACTTCCCACAAAGCATATTATAATAGTACTCTAATATCAGAATGAAGAAGGCTTAGCGGACAAACCCATAATTTTTCTAACAAAGGTAAATATTTCTTCCCTACCAAATACACCTAAATGCTACTAGATGAGAAAGAGAATAACAGGTTCAACTCGAACCACCTTATTTGCTTGGAAAATATTTCTTAAGATGACAGAAGGCTTCCAGTTGGAAGGAATTTTGCTAGTCCCAGCCTCTGCCCAGAGCAGGGTCAGTTGTGGAGTCAGATCTGGCTGCTCCAGGCTAATCTTGTCAGGATTTTAATAGCTCCAAGGATGGAGACAGCACAGTCTCCCCAGGACTCTACTCCACTTCTAGAGAACCCTCATAGGAGAAAAAAAAAAAAAGGCTTCTTGCTGGTTTTTATATTTGCTTTACATAAATGGTTTTGAAGTTGATTTTCTTTTCCAAAATTTCACACGAAGCCACCTAAGCCCTGTGCTCTGCAGGCTGTCAATGCAGCCCTAGGGAAAGCTGCAGCCTGGGACAGTGGATCAGTTCTGTACCAACAGCTGGTAATGGCATAATACTGGCTACAGAAGTCTACCAGATGTGATACCATTTGGAAGCTATGCCTTGGATAACTGGGCAAGCAAATGCTCAGGAAGCAAAGCTAGGATGTGAATTTAGAGTACAGTGGCTTTTTCAGATTCAATTTTTATGTGAACTCTTTAGGAATTACTGAATCATGCAAAGTGGACGTGGTGTTGCAATTCCTACCTTTTAGCCTCCTGCACATTAATTTCCCAATGCAGATACAAATGTTCTTCTGCCACCATTCTGAAAGCATGCTTTGGTTCCCTTTTTAGGAAAAGGAAACTTGGGAGGCAACAGTACATGAAAGATGAAGGATAATCAACATGCATCATTGTGTGTTTTAACAGGAAATCTGACAAAGCTAATGGAATTCTTCTTTCATTAAGAACATCCTTAATGAAGGTCTGCTTTTCCACTGATCTCTCAATAATTTCATCATCTTTACTCATGATATTGAGCCTGAACTAATAAACAGATTAGTGCTGTGGCTTGCAAAGTATTTTTAACACACGTAGTTGAGAAATTAGACAAGTGATTGCAATCATTTAGAAGTCATAAAAATTTCCCTCTTTGCAACATTTCCACAACTGGGATGTAATTGCACTAAGCATAATAAATGATCTGTGCTACAATTACATCTGCTTTGTGACAGTGCTTATTGGTTAATCTTCACAATTTGTAATCCAATAGTACCTGACAATGCCACCCAAAGCCAAGAATAACATTCTTCGTTCTTACTAATGCATAAACTTTCAATAAATCTGGAACTTTCTTGGTTTGCACATTTTCATATTTGACTTGTTCCCGGACTTCAGAAGACTCAATGAATATATTATGGTTTTCCTCAAAGTGGGTTTTGCTTTGAATTCCAGGTTTTCTCCTTGTCATGAAAAAAACATTGTGTTTCTGGGAAAAGGCCAGTCATTTTTCAGGAGAAAGCAACAAGATTTTTTCAAGTCAGGGTGCACAGCTGTATCCATTCTCCCATCCTGTTTCATAATTATTGAACAGTATGCTAAGAAACACAAAAATGTTTCTTAACATACTGAAAAATTCAGCTCAGGCATTTTTTAAAAATTTATCATCTAGTGTGACAGCATAATTTAAAGTACATGCAAAAAATTCCCTAAAGCTGCACTGTAAGAGGTAATGGGCTTATCTGGATTATACAGGCTTGAAGGTTATTAAACCTGATTATGGAGTTTTAGATGAAGGTAAGAAAGTAGACGTGACTTCACAACTTCAATGAGCACACTGTGATATTGCATGAGAGTGCTCCTCACCTGCTGCAGTACATGTCTCTCTCTCAATGTCATTAATCTTCTGTGGAGCTCTACTAGTTCATCGAGATATGCCTAGAAACAAATCCCCCCCCACCATAAACAACTTGTTAATTAAGTCATAGCTATGTATTTCATAAACTTCAATGTCTTCAAAAACAATACAAACAGAAAATGTATTTTAAATCTTAGAATCATAGAATACCCTGGGTTGGAAGGGACTCACTAGGATCATCAGGTCCAACTCCTGGCCCTGCACACAGGGCCACCCCCAAGAAACACACCATGTGCCTGGGAGCATTTTGCAAATGCTTCTTGAACTCTGTCAGGCATGGGACTGTGACCACTGCCCTGGGGAGCAGTTCTGGTGCCCAAACACCGTCTGAGTGAAAAATGCTACAAACACCCTCTGGGGGAAGAACCTTTTCCTAATATCCAACCTAACCCTCCCCTGACACAGCTCCATGCCATTCCCTTGGGCACTGGACTGGTCACCAGAGAGCAGAGATCAGTGCTGCCCCTTCACTTCCCCTCATGAGGAAGCTGTAGACTGCTATGAAGTCTCAGTCTCCTCTTCTCCAGGCTGAACGGACCAGGTTACTCCAGCCACTTATCATACACCTTCCCCTCTAGGCCCTTCACCATCTTTGTAGCCTCCTTTGGACACTGTCCAGCAGTTCATATACTTCTTAGATTGTGGCACTCAAACTGCACACAGGACGCCAGGTGAGACCAAGCTCTTCTTTGAACTATATTCTCTTATTTAGCAGTCTGGCTTTCTCTAGCTTATACAACCCAAATATACCTTTTTGTGGTTTTTTTAAGATACTCCATGCTGATAAATCTTAATAGCTAGTCATTTGCCTCAGAAGATAATGTCTATATCTCAACTGTGGTAAAAAGCATCAAAAGATTGGTGCAGTTGTTTTGCATGGCCAGTTTTTTTGGCAGTGGGGGTGCTACAGGGGTGGCTTCTGTGAGAAGTTGCCAGAAGCTTCCCCCATGTCTGACAGAGCCAATGCCAAGTTGGACCTGCTGCAGGTCAAAGCCCATCTGTGATGGTGGTAGTGCCTCTGTGATACCCTGCAGGCAGCAAAGTCAGTGAAGAAGGAGGGGGAGGACATGCTCCAGGCAGCAAAAGCAGATTTCCCTGAAGCCCATGGAACTCTGCAGACAGCAGGGTCAGTGGAGAAGGATGGGGAGGAGGTGCTCCAGGTGCTGAAGCTGCAGATCCCCTGGCAGTCTGTGGAGAAGACCACGGTGAAGCAGCTGAGCTCCTACAGCCTGTGGAGGAGACCTATGGTGGAGCAGGTGGATGCCCAAAGGAGGCTGTGACCCCGTGGGAAGCCTGTGATGGAGCAGCTTCTGCCAGGGACCTGCAGACCCATGGAGAGAGGAACCCCATGCCGAAGCAGGTTTCCTGTTAGAACCTGTGATCCTGTGGGGAACCCATGCTGGAGCTGTTCCTGAGGGACTGGACTGCACCCTGTGGAGAGTGACCCATGCTGCAGCAGTTCATGCCAAAACAGCACCTTTAGAAAACATCTCCCACCTTTCCACACAAGAACCAAACTCAGAGACTCACAACCAGATCTTTCTTTTTCTCTAAAGTTATATAATGATTTCTTTTGCGTCAACAGAGAGATGTAAGGGGAAAAATACCAAGCAAGATGAATCCAGTGATAAATTCCACTGCCTCCCTCCTGGGATGTCAAACATGTTCCACCTCTCCACCCAGTTATCAACTTTCTCCTTCAGCCTGAGCCATCAAAAACCTTTTATTTTTCTTTTAAGCAGAGAGAGATATGGCACCCAACTTAAGAAACCGAAAAGCATATGGCTCAGAGCACTAAATATCTAGCAACAGATACTGCAGCTTTCATCTCTTGCCTCGTGTTATCACGAAGGTGACACTAATACCAGTAAAATATGAACCTTCAGAGGAACTTGTCCACACTGGGCAATTGTGCTATGTTCACTCACATAAGGACTTAGAGCTCTTCCCCATGGCTAGTTGACATGACATTAAACAAAACGGTCTTTCTCACTGTTAAATGGTAACAGTTGCTTCACTAATTAACATGCTAAATTACACTGCCACTTCCTAGTGCACAGTCTTCAGAAAGGATTCTGGAAAATATATGATTGGGTTTTATTTTTATCATTGATTCATATATTATCTAGGAATACCTCTGTGAATTCTCATCTACAAAAATTATCACTTTCTATGTGAAGCTCCATGCAAACTTATGGTGGAGAGTAGATAAAATAAATAATAGATGGCAGATTCCCAACTTGTGACATCTGCTTAATCACCACGAATACTGAACAGAAGGGGGAAAAAACTCAAAATATGACAGAAGGAGAAAGAATTACAGAAGGAAAAAAAAAACCCAAAACAGAAAGATTTGCACCTAAAGGAACCCAAAGTAAAGATGTGATAAAGTTTTCATTCACTAACAAAGGTTGGTGTTTAGTAAATACATTAATATCATATTTTGGAGTAGTTTATTGTTACCCCATTCTTATTTACCTTATCACAATCCCCATTCTTTATTTGTTTATCAGATTTGTTTTGCTTTATTGGACTTTTCACTTCTAAAATCTGGAAAAGAAAGAAAATGCTGTAAAAATTAAATGCATCATTGGATACAATTACATACAGAAAATTCTGCTATCGGTTAATAACACAAACTCAAAACTGAGCTTTTCACTCTTTAATCCATATAACCTACTTATATTTTTTTCAGAATAAAAAGCAGCTTACAGCAAAAAATGCTGAGCTTCTGGAATGAGGTGATATTGATACTATTAATCCTTAAAAGAACTAATTTCATGTCACTTAAGGCCTCTCTATGCTTTTTTCCTATCTTTGGCATGCTGGTAGGATAAGAAGTCTGATCTTGCAGATAAAAAATGATGCTGAGGGTCTCTCCAGTGCCTCTGAAATGTCACGTGATCAATGTATTTTTCCTGTTCTTTTCCCCTCACAGCTATCTCTTTTCTTCAACAATACAGATTTTGAAAGTCTTTGAAATGACCACGAGTTGTAACAGGAAAAAAAAAAAAGTGATTGACAGCAATTTCCTTTGCACTTATATGGTACATGGTACCTTTCCTTCAATGCCATTCAAATCCATTTACTACCACAGACACAAACCAAGGATGCTTCATCCAGTACTGGACCACGGTCAAGAGGTGCATGTCAACAAGTAGTAGGACACCCTGTTTAATACGAAACTCTTAGGTTGAAAGTGAGAAATATCTGGGGGTAAAAGAACTGTTGATTGCTCTCCCAATTTTTTTCCACTAAAAATAGCTTTAAAAAAATCACTATGTCATTCCTAACCTGGAATTTAACCAGTTCTTCTGAGAAACATCAAAGAAAGCTGAATAATTGCAGATGATGGGAGATTCTATTCCACATTTCAATGTAAGTAAGACTAACATGACGAGCAAGATTAATTCCAAAACTACACCGAACAGTCACAACACAAGACAAAACTCAGCAAATAAAACAAGGAAATAAGGCTGGTAAAAACAAGTCTTCTAGACTAGAAAGAAGCCTCACTGACAGTTATCTCCAAGTCCCCTCTCATTTCTACTTCCCTTGGTATAAAATTACAAATGGCATATATGCTCCCCAGGGTGACCAGCATCATAAGAATACAGCAGGCACTATCTCCCTATATAGTGACTGCAGATCTGAGTTAACCTTACACAAAGATTTACTTAGCCAAGAGTGACCCACGGCCAGAAATCAAAACACACTTTTAGGAAGAAAAATCCAAGTTCTTCTATGCAACACTCCCTGGGGTTACTGCTGTTTAGGCCAGTGGAGGAAGTCTTATTTTGGAAAAAAAACCCCAACAAAACCAAAACCCAGACCACCAGTCACGGATCCAGTACCTTTTAGATGGTTTTATTGTTTTTACAGGAAGAAAGTTCTTGCTTTCAAACAAAACCTTGTCAAGTGCACAGTGTATTTGAAAAAGTTGCTTCCTTACAGTGCTCTTGCTGTGTAGTTGAAATCTAGTATCTTAAGTGCTTTTGTTCAGATGAGACACAGCACGAATCACACCTGAGCAAGCTTATATGAATACTAACTCTATCTTAGCTCTTTAGTTTTATGAATAACCTTAGTCAACACAAACCTGATTTCATCAGTCAAAAGCATCATCCTGGCAAGCAGCACTATGCTACCAAGCAGAGATTTCAAATGTGGCTACAGTCCATAGAATTTGAATTCTCACAATGCTTCTCTAAATTTCTGATTTTCAGCTTGATTATAAAATTCAGCTGAGCTACATAAGTGGAAGAAGGTATGTGACATCCAATTTCAGCCGTCACACAGCCATTGTTTGGGTAGATCACTTCTTAGATCACCAAAATGCAAAGAAACACAGAAGATGTGACTGAGTGGGCTGCTGATACTGAGACTTAGAAATACTTAACAATAACATTGCCTCTGCAGAAATTAGTCTTCATTAAACAGTAAGCCATAGACTGGTGATTTATTTTTCTTGTGTTTATGTGTCCAGTAAATGCAGTATTCTTCATCCTCATAGTTAGCTTTCTTTGCCTAAAAGACTCTCTTAAAAACTTGTAACTTCTGTACAGATAACTTAGAAAAGCCTACAGTGTTTCTGGTAGATAATGGGAATGTTTTCTGGACAAAGAATCACTTTCTCTCTGTGTACCAAGCACTACTAGAGGTTTTTTTTCCACAGTGTGTTTGAACTTAACTGACATGAATTATAATATTTTGCATTTGCACTACAGCCTCTAGTGGAAACCTTAATAGAAACACAAGGTCAACTAAATACTTTCTGACAGATAATTGAAGCAGTTAACCTAAGAGATATAGAAAAGATTCACTCATGAAACTCACCATCTAAACCACAAGCTTTTGTTAACATATGTAGACACTACTCTAACTATGTCAAAACTATAAGCAGCCATTTATTGCCAGTATGCAAATGTTATGACTATGTATAATACAACTGACACTGGGAATTAATAATGGCTCCTTAAAATAACTGACAAATTATGTATTTTAATAATTATGATTAAATTTAATATTTAGAGAGTCTTACTTTATAGCATCTGGGGGTAAGGTAACTCCCAAACTCTAATTCTCATTTTTCCCTGAAGTATTCTTTTACCCTAGGAAATTTAATTTCTTTTCTTTCAGAAACACAACTACCCTTTGTTCCTACTTCAAAAAAAAATAATGCTAGCTCCTACAAATCTGGGATGAGTACTCTGACATGAAGTAAAAACTACTGTGTCTTCTAGTGGAGTGAAAAATATTGTATCTTCTACATAAACACTGAGAGAAGAGAGGGGAAGAGATGAATGAATAAACTCCTGAGTTTAATGTGAACTATGTCTCCTGTTAATACTAACCTAAAATGCATTTATGAATCCTGAATCACAGAATCATAAAACCATCAAGGTTGGAAGAGACCTTAAAGGTGATCAAGTCCAACCATTAACCTGGCACTCTACTGTAACCCCTAAACACTAAACCATATCATCCATCACCAGATCCAGACACCTCATAAACACTTCCAGGGATGGTGACTCCACCACCTCCATGGACATCCTATTCCTGCACCTGATGAGCCTAGCAGTGAAATTTTTTTTTCTTGTATCTACTCTGACTCTCCCTTGTCTCATCTTAAGGCCATTCCCTCTTGTCCTCTCGCTGTAGGCATGGCAGAAGAGACCATCCCCCACCTCTCTACAACCCCCTGTCAGGCAGTTGTAGAGAGCCATGAGGTCACCCCTGAGTCTCCTCTTCTCAAGGCTAAACAAACCCAGTTCCTTCAGTCACTCTTCATAAGACACGGTCTAGACTTTACCTGGCTGTTGTTGGTTTTCAGTAAGGATGGTGCTGGTTCATGACGTCGAGGTGAGGAATTGGAACTGCTATCACTGTCACTGCCATCACTCAGACTAACCCTATGGAAAAAAAAGAGCCAAAGGATTATACCTTGAGACAAAGGTCTGTCAATAGAAGTGAACCAAACTTGTACTTTGAGGTAGAGACTTAGAATGATTAATTCCTGCTAACCAAGCTATGATTAATCACGATCACATGGAAGAGAGGCATCTGAGCAGGGCTGCACTCAGGAAGAAGCCCTCTGTAGCACAGAGAAGGAGGCTGCCTGCCTGCACTTGGCTGAGAAGAAGCATCCAGTTAACAGCAGCTAATGTTACAGGAATGGTTAAATAGCAAGAACGTTAAACTGCTGCTCCCGACTGAATTAGTCCATAGCTCAGTTCACAGCTATGTGGAAGTAGGAAAACGGTTTCTAGAGATACCTTTCTGCTCTTCTAGAAGTTTTCTAGACAGTTGTACTTCCCACCTGTACAAGTATTTCACTGAAAAGTTCCTGGTTTCTTGTCATAAATAACACACCTTTTTCTGGCTAAAATTGAAAAACTTAGCATCTCAGTAAAGGCCACGTGAAAAAGCCCAGCTCACTTGTCTTTTACTTAGGAACAACAGGGAATATTTTTTTGCTGAAGAAAAAGATATTAGCTATTTGGGATAAAAAGAAGGTAGAGAAACATCACCTTAATTAAGGTTTCATTATAAACCTGAAATCAAATTGCCTCACTTGGAGACAAGCTGAGCTTGAAACAATCCTTTACAAAATCACTGGCACAAACAAGTTCTCAAACTGCTAGTCTTCTTGGTCTTTTCCTCCTTGATTGCAGCTCCTAAAGTGCATCAGGGAAGCAGCTGACATTCATTAATGTCTTCCTATTGCCATCCTATTTAAGAAGTAGCTGACACTGGCACTCAGATGCTGTGCAGGAACTGCAAAACCCTCAGAATCAGATAAAGAACCTAGTATGAAAATTGTTTGAGAGAGACTGTTTCAGGTTTTCCATAACCTTCAACATCATTAGGATGGAGCTTCAAGCTGCCCAATGGATGATTTTTGGAATGCCTCTGAAGGTTGCATAGGATGCAGAAGCTTTTTTAATAAAGTAGCTTCTGTGACAGATGTTTGCTTTACCTTCTGATGCACTTTTACACATTATCTACTGCATGCAGTGGAGAAATTACTTGAAATTCAAATTTCATTGATTCTGACCCAATTTAACAATCTAATCTAAAACTGGTAAGCAGAGAGCTCTGGTGATGATGCTATGTATAGAATAGCTCATCTGGCAATTGAAGGACTTAATTTTCACTAATTTATGCCAGAAAGTAATTATGACTCCTCCCCTCAAGTCAACGGCATGAAACCAAGGACAGTCAAATGAATGAGGATCATCGTAACCATATGGATTAGTACAGGAAGAGCTTGTATCAGAAATGGCTAATTCTGTTAGTTTCAGAACAGGCTCTTTTACCTTCATATGCTTTAAAAAGAGTCTGAATTTTCTGCCCAGTTGCTACTCAGCACTCTTTGAGAAGATCAGACCCCATTTCACTACTGACAAGAACTTTGTCTTGACCGCCAGGCTACTAGCAATCACAAGACACTCACCTGCGACTCCTGCTTCCTCCTCGTGTATTTACAGGTTGTTCCAACTCAGAATCATTGTCCTTCTCATCTGCTTCATCTGATTCATCTTCATTATCGTCTGAATGCAGATCTTTCATTATAGACCTCAATGGACCTGAAACAAAATACACAATGAAGTTCACTTTGCAGTGTTTTGGGCAATTCACCCAGCCTTGTGGATGATAAAAAACTACCCTCCCCACACAGTGTTGAGAGGGAAGAATCTTAAACATTAAACAAATGAAGTAATGCACTGGGGGCTTATGCTGCAGGGACTTATCCATGAATTATTCACTCACACAAGCAACTCAGCTTGAATAAACTTACTCATGACAGTGAAGCAACTCATATGTTCAAGTATGTGAACGATCAGGCCCCTGGACCATAGCTGAAGTAAGTAAAAATGCCATCTTGCCAGCAGCAATTGACTATTACTGTATTACTGCTAGAAGCACAATTACTTTGCATTGCTGGGGTTTAGCATTTCTTGCCCTCTCGAAGGGTATTATATGTGAGTAAAGATCTACAGAGGCATATTCACCAGTAATAGTACATTTGTTAGATTAATCCATGTACTGAGAAGCTGGGTCTAACAAATCATTCTGTCCACCTCGTACTGACCAAGGCAGTCTTTGTCTCCTTGTTTTTTTAATGTATTTCCCTTAAGCTGTTCCTGTTATTTCAGGGTCAATTTCAGGTCGAGCCAAGCACTTTGCCAATGTTGATATGGTCAAATCCCACCCAACAGCATATTATCACTTTTCCTGTATTAACAGAAGGCACAAAAGTTAACTTGCTCACAAAACTGCATTAAACTCAGTTTGGGGTTTGTTTTGATTTTTACTCTATTTTGCTGTAAGAGACAGTTACAGAAAGAGAAATATATTTAATATATCTAGGAAATGTTAAACTACAGCTGCTTGAAACAAGAATGGGCAAAAGCAGCTTAGAAGAGGGAAGGAAGCAAAACTGATGCCACGAGACATCCAACTCTGAAGTATAACCCATCTGAGACACACAGCAGAAAGTAAAAGCAACAGCAATGGCTGTGGGAACAGCAATTACTATAACAGTTGTGTAATTCCTTCAGCCAAAGAAATACAAAGCACTAACATGACCAAAGCGAGCCTCAGAGATGAAGCTTTCAGCTCTATTTGCTCATGGGGAAACTGAGCCAAGGAGTGTCTTCCCTGGTCACTGTCGGCAGAGAAGATAGACCTTTGTCAGTCAGTGCCATACATGTAACAAAGATGGTATGTTCCTTCATGTAAGGAACAGCTTTATGGACTATTCCAGACCTAGCAAGATTCAGGCCACAGGCATTTTAACTTGTTTTGTGCAAGTGACCTCAAAGCCAATATTGAGATTGATTTCTCACTAAGGCTGCACTAAACCTTTGTACATTGGGACAGTTTGGGCAGGTTCAGAGTAATGGTTTCTTTTCTGTTCCCACAGCCTAGGGAAGAAGACCCGGTAGCACTGATGGGCAAATTTCAGGGTGACCAGACATCTGTATGGGTGACAAGGAAAGGGGAACTATATGGAAGTGCTTCTCATCCGTGCAACCACTGCTGATCTGCAGAAGCAGCTAAGCTGCGCTCCATTTTCTATTCCTGTTTGGATCTCAGCTATTTGCAAATGACAACTTGTAATCTGACCAAATAACTAACCATCTGACCCTTGAAGGTGGGAAAGGGCTTTTATAGGAGAAATAATAAAAAATGAACTTGGACTCCTGAGATACATCCATCACCAACAGTCCCATAGACATTGAACACCCTGTCATTCAGACAAGTTCTCTTAGTGTAGGATCATGTTTGGCAGTCTGCCCATGAGCAAGTTTTCTTGGTAAGGAAACAGAAATATCAGAGTAAGCCTCATGGACAGAAGAACTTGAAGAAACTTAGGTTAACCCACTGCTTATGCAAAAAGAGGTGAAAAATGTTCATGCTGTGGTTTTCTGACACTCGAATAAGCACTGGAGTTGGAATGCAACAGAAAATGTGCAATGGCCCTAGCAAGTAACTTCTAGTTATGGGAAAAAGCGTGGGTTCTGACCAGAGAGCAACACTCAAAGTGAACATGCCACTCTATGCCTGGTGCTTCATACCTTGAATGCACAAATGCATGGCCAGGGCAACAAACACATTTAGTTAACTACAGCTTCTGAAACTCCCAGAAAGAAGCAGTAAACACTATTTACTGTGGCAAAAAAAAAAAAGAGAAGATGTATATACCACTTGTACTTCAGAGCTGTTCATGTAAGAGGAAAAATCTCACATCTATTCCAGAGAAGGTATAAAGAATGGAAAAACAACCTGTGATATGTCTTATGACTTATCTGATCCAGAAAAGTTAGATGGGATCAGAATGCTCAGAAGAAATGCTAAGTCAACAGGTTTTTGTCCAGCATAAGGTTACGGATACAGAAATGGGTATCCAGCTCTTTTGGCTTGTAATGGACAGTTCACACCACCAACGAGGTTTTTCATGAGAGTGAAAATGGGGTTTCAGCACAAAGTGCATCTGTTTATCTTCAGGTAAAAATCAACCACAGTTTATTTCAGCTCTTGCTTTCCTTCACCTGGAGCCACGATGTCAGAAAACACTGGAAAATCAGAACCAGCCACCTACTGAAAGGCAGTGGGACAGATTTGCATCATGCATAGATCTATTTAACAGCAGTCTGGCTGAGGCACTAATGTATTATCATAACCGTAAGTCAAGTCTGCCATTGAGGAATACAAATGTATAAAACAAACACAGTTTTGTTTAGTCAAAGGCTGTTTTTTTAATGTTTCTTATCCAAAGAACAAAACAAAAGCTCATTAGGAACATATCAGCTGTACAATCTTATAAATGCAAGGAAAGAAACCAGGCAGGAACTAAGTAGTTTAATAGATCATGTAGAATGAATCTCAGCTTATTTACAGAAAACATGCCTTGGCTAGGTCTCCAGGAAGAAAAATGCATTCTTTACTGAATTCCAAGTAAACTGTAATTACTAGCCAGAAAACCAAAACTTGGAAGTCTCACAACCATCCTCCCATGCCATGTACCTAAAGTAAATACTCTTTGCCTTAGAACTTCCCAACAGTATGGGAAAATCACTGCCCACATGGGGCCACATACAAACACTCGTGGACTTCTCACCAGAAGCCACACATTTCCAAGGTTTCAGGTGGAGCTAGGTGTCATTCTACCTAACCCTGAAGAAGGACAACTCAGAAACAGAAGCTCATTTGACTTCAGCATCTGTTAAGTGGCTGGCATGCCTTTAGTCCTTCAAAATAAACAACCTTCACACCCTTTTCTCAGACACAGTTTCTCCCCTTTTGTTTTGCCCTTATAGCCACATCTGAAAAAAAGTCTCTAAAACAAAACTGTGGCCAGTTCAGGCAGTGAAAGACAGAAGAAAAGCAGTAATGAGATGCCACCAGATGTGTTTTTATTGGCCCCTTCATTTCACACATTCCTTTCAATTTCTTTTCATTTATCTGTACCTTGTTGTCTGCTGTTTTGAGATGGTGTAAAACTGGAACTGGAACTGGAGCTGGAACTGGCAGGACTGGGCTGTTCAGACTTAAAAGGGGAAAAAAAAAGAAAATAAATAACATTTTAAGAAACATTTTTTGCCTAAAACTCTTACTGTTACTTACTGCCCAAAGCACGCTGTCATGAAAAGAGAACTGTGGAACAGAATAATACTCAAAGATCTTTATCTCAGGTGCCAGTGAGGCAAATATTCTGGAAATTGCTATTGCACTCACCGTACATACATACTACTACATCATGTCCAGTTCTTTGCTAAAGCCAATATCCTGACAAAAAGTTTCCAATGCCTTGTTTGAAAGGCTATACAACATGAGAGCCTAAATGAGTTTAGAACAGACCTAAGGCATCTCTGTTCCAAATTAGCAACGACCTAGTAGAATCAAAGAACAGAAGTCCTGAGCAGACCACATTAAATGCCAGAAAACCTCAGACAGTTTTCTTTCTTCTTCCTTAGAAAATCAGTCTTGAGATCGGGATTGAAAATAAACTTCTCTGCTGTTATTGGATTTCTCGTAATCCTATCATTTTCCATATGCATTAAACCCCTGCAGATTGTAATAGTGATTGAACCAGAAGGATTGCCTTGTTACAAAAAGAAATTATCTAGAATTTACTGGTTACAAAAGAGAAGTAGATTTTTAAAAGAGAGCTGTTAAATTCAGTGTACATCTTTTAACAAACAGTTCTATACACTCTTTTTCTACTATGGTTCAAAAGGTGCAAATTTCTCTCTAAAATTAATGAGAAAGGCCTATTACTTCATCTAAAAATACTGCATCATTCTTGTCATAGTAGTTATGGCTTATGAGGGTGGTACTGAGGAGTCCTCCCTCGTGCTGTCAGGTTGCAGATCTCCACATACTTTTTGTCTGTTTCTTAGACTCAGTGGCTTGAAGCGTGAGGGTGTTGGTTCATACTTGCACACTCATCTGCGTACATGAGACAGAGTACGGATCTGGTATGTGGGCAGAGGGGATGCTAACAGAAAACATGAAATAAGAAAGAAATGGCCATACAGAAGGAACCGTGAAAATCAGATTAGGAAGTAATGATCTAAACATCTACTATTGAAAAGAAAACCTGCTTACACTTTGAATTTTATACAGCTGTGTTATCATGATGTGTTATCCAGGCTAACAAACATCTTCCACCTCTCCTTGCATGTACAATAGCTCTCATGGTAAAGATAGAAGTAAATTGCTCTCAAAAATGACAGCAGTAATACCCAGTCTGTAAAACTCAGATTTCACACCCACAGAATACCTAAGCCCAATGGTTGCTTTTTCACCACAAATCAATCTATTGTTGCCCTTCATAATGAGCAGGCAGATTTACTGCCTTTTGTTGCCTTTTTCTCACAATGAGCTATGTCTATCTGGGCAACAGAATGCTTGAGAAAAACACCATTAACATCTGCTCTCCTTAAATCAACACCAGCTCCAGTTCTCACAGACACAGAGTCAAAATACAAACTCTGGACCTGACTGTGAGGTATATACTGCTTGTATACAACTGAGCCAATCCTGTGCAAGAAAACCCAACCCAGCCAACACCACAACCTGCTCTGAGTACTGAAAGAGATTCTTACTTGGTCCACTGCATCAGACCTTTTTGGAAAACACTGCAGCATTGCTTGATAATTACTCTGAAAATGAAGTACTTTTGAAAAATACCCCTTTTTTTGTCCTTCCTGAGTTTCTGTAAAATCATACAACATTTTTAGCTGCAAAATAATTATGACAACATGAAACAGACTGCAGTGATGAAGACAAGAGTCAGTGCAAACTTTAAAGACATGAATAAACTAAGTTCAGCCTTCCAGCTTGATGCTACCCTTAAACATCTGGCTTATCTGTCACTTTCTGCTTTTTGCAGTAGAATTACCAGCTGAGAACTGGTTTCTGCAGATTTCCATTAACTATTTTTCCTTTATTAATTTCAACACCAACTCTCACTTGTGTAAAGTCCATTCCCTTAGAAAAATAACAAGCAGTAAAAGACTGTTATATTGGGTTTAAAACACTTTCAAGTGCTAAAACTCTCGAAAAAAAAATCACACAGGACCATAGAATATGTCAATATTAAACTTCAGTACTTTCTTTTTGAACCTGCTTACTTGAAATGAAAAAAGGAAAAAGGCATTAACTAACCAAGTCACTATCACAGGAAAAAAAAAGATACACATATTAAAGAAGGAATGGGTAAAAATACATATAAAGTTGTTATAATATTTTCTGGATAAAAATTTTGCTCTGCTTTAGCAAGATCACTTTGAGAAGCCAAACCACAGGAAGTCCCAATGAAACACGTGATCATCCACACACTCTCTTTAAAATGGTTCTTAATGACTTTTGAAACAATTTACATCATTTCCTTAAACAGCCTTGTCTGAAAGCTTATTCCAAGAAATAAAGATTAGCATAAATATTCAAATTGTTAAGTATCAGCAATGAAACCTAGATTTTTTTAAACTGGGTGGGAGTGCACCCAGAGGAAACAGCTGCTTTTAACATAAGAGTGGATGTTATTAACAGAAGACACTTGCCTTTTCAGAAGAAACTAAAAATATGCCTTCCATATATGAATATGGATAGTGCTGACAGCACCAATGCTTCTACTTAACAGAGGCTGTCTTTCTTCACTTAAGCAATGCTTTTTGACAGTTTTACAGGCTCTTATCCCAATGACTTAGGTATTTATGGCTTTACTCACTTGAGCTTTCTGCTCTTATTCACTGGTTCCTAATCACCAAACAGATTTATTTTTTTTATGGGTCTGAAATTAGCTAAAGGGTGTCCTTCAACAATAAAAGTTCAAGAAAGTACCAGCAAAGAGCTTCTCTCATATGGCCTTTTCCTGTTTAACCAGTTCTCTCTTCCTGCAGACCAGCTAATGAGAGTATGGGCCCAAACTGTTCATTAGTGCAATGACCCGATATGATTTATTGCACTCTTAGACAGTCTATTTCATTTTAGTGCTCTCACACCGATGCACAGGAGACAGTGGCTTCTTTATTAGTCCTGATTGAGAGATTCTGTGCTTTGAAACCATTCAGCAAGATAAGGCACTTTTCTTTAGCTCAAGTTTTCCCTGAAAAGGTACCTTTTTCACCACCTCTAAATCATTTGGCTTCTGTCATTTCCAATCCTAGTGCAGCAATTCACTCTTGAGCTGACAACAGCTTTCAGGAAAACTCACCTGTTTGATACAGGATATAATAGAGTTGGGTTTCTAATAGCTCATGGTTGCCCCAGTTCATATAACTTCTTGGGGCTGTCCTGTGCAGGGCCAGGAGTTGGACTTCTATGATCCTTGTGTGTCCCTTCCAACTCAGGATATTCTATGATTCTATGACTCTAAAAATAACTCCCATTATTTCAAGCTACTTATTCATTCTTGCATTAAGAAATAGAAGACATCTGTATGTGGGTGACAATGTTTTTTCATGCCTTTCCTATTTTTTCCCATTTTTTGTGCAGAATAGTCTAAGGACTTACATTTCCTTGTGCTATACATACTGAAGAGTCTATACACTTGAAACTGCTTACAGCTGAGCATTACTTTCACTTTATTTTGTCCAAAGTTGGAATTTCAGGGAGGAGGAACATGTTCTCTCAAGATAAGCCTTCTTCTCTAACAGGACTCCTGTACTTAAATTTCTACAGTTTCTTAAGTGCCCTGCACTGACCATTGCCTCAGCTTTTAAAGAGTCATCCAACTCATCCATAGCTCACATGAGTTTTCCTCGGAAGACAAGGAAACACCTTCACTGTGAGGGTGACCAAGAATGGGCACAGACTGCTCAGGGTGGTTTTGGCATCTCCCTCCTTAAGAGATACTAAAAACCACATCTAGACAGGGTCCTGGGGACCTAGCCCTAAGTGGCCCTGGTTGATCAGTGGAGGTAGCCCATATGACAGTCAGAGGTCCCTTCCAACCTCAACCAGTCTGCGAGTCTTTGAATTTGAAACACATCCTTCATTTAACAAGTAGTATCCTGAAGAGACCTTACAACAACTGTTGCAACAGTTTCATGTGAACAACTGCACTAAATGAAGCAAGATTTGCATTTGTTAGAGATTATCCTACTGAAAACTGTATATATTTTTGAAAGAAAATCCCTTTCCTTCTACATTTATGTACATATTTTGTCTTAGCTTTAAAAATAAAAACTTTATTTGAGACACTGCTAGCATTAAAACTCATAAATACTCAAGGCTTAGAGAAGACTCAAGCACAGGAGACTGAGCTAATATGTGGCTAAAAAAATTCTTTTGCAGTACACTGTGCAATACAGTTGAAAGACAAAGCACTGGTGAAGGTTGGTAACCTGAAGGGATACTTTTGCTGAAGATATCTTACTGGTAAGGGTGAAAGACACACAGTAAAGCAGGCAAAAAAGGTACAGGAGAGAAGATTAAGGTTTCTCACATAAAGCAACTGAATAGTACAGTTTCCATGGATTTCATGCCTACTAGATAATAAGCAAACTAATGATAAAATGTGTACAGTCATGTGATTATGAACATGGTCCTTAACAAACTGAAAGAGGCAAATTGAGGGAAGTTCTCATCATATAACTCCAACCAAGAAGGATGAAGATTGTCCTGAATATGTAGGTAATGCTGGCAAAGACAGGGTTATATGAAGTCTTTGGCTTTTCAAAATTGGCACTCACAACTGTGTTATCTAGGCCACATTTCCCCAAAAATGTGTGAGAAGACATCGATGTTTGTGAAGAATTGATAAGCGTAAGCAGCACAACATGGGGAAGTTAACAGTTCTGTGTTCTATTAAAAGTCTGAATTATATGGGGGAAATTATATGGGGGAAAAAATGGATCCACTGATGGAAGATATGCTAAATAAATCACCTGTTTGAAGATTATTGCTTGTTTTGTAAGCTCAGTGACATGAAAGTCCTGTGGTGACAGAATGGCATCTGACCCTCCGCATTCTGTTAAATGTGGAAAGGCCAAATTAAGCTGGCAAGCAACACTCAAATACTGATTTTCTGAGAGTTTGACT